AACAAAAAAAAAACAAACAAAAATAAAATATAACAGTACTGGAATGTCCCTCTTGTGATGATACCTATTTACCAAATAAATAAATAAATAAATTCAGATTTTAATCAAAATTATTTTATTATCTTTCTTAGAAAAGCTTAAAGGTTCTACTAAGAAAAATAGTCCAGGCAGACTATTTATAACTGTACAGTTTAATGTCATTATACAAAATATTTATAGTTTCAAAGCAATGATTAGAATCACATATAAAAATTCTTCACAGGTAAAATATTTGTCAGGGCTTGGAGGTTTTGGGCCCAAGGATGTGATTAAGAATATTATGCAGCAAGTCATAACAGATGATCTGGCTAAGGAGTTCAACTGGCAGGGGAGAGGAGATAAAAGACCCTTCTCTCATCTTATTTTAACAGATGTGATTAGAGGTAAACTCGCCGCTGCATGAACACTTCCCACAAGAATGTTTGTATTTTGTCTGCAGTTGTCTTTACTTTCAAATCAAAACAAAGGCAGAGAAATAAAATTAATTTAAAGAACTCTGAGACAAATTTGACCTAAAGAATGTAAAAACTATTTACAGCTGTGAGTATGAGGCACTATACAACAAATGCTTGAGGTTTTCCAATTAACTTATCAAGTTTCTTCTTTCAGATGCTGCATTCAAACGAAGTGTAAACAGGGTTGAGTGTGAAACAGAAATAAAAAAATATCTGAGTTACACAGCTGATCGACTCGGTCGGAAGAGACCAAGAGAACAAGGAGGTGAGTGATACAGACGTTATAGATGTCATGTGAATGCGCTCATGGGACTATATCTCAGATACAGATGAGCTCCTGACACACATATAGGGATTTCCTTGGTTTTGATTTTAAGCTCACTTCAAAATTCATGCAATGTTGAATGCTTAGATCAAATACAATGTGCTTATATACCTACGGCATGAGTATGTATAGCACATTTTATTATTTTTTGTAACTGTGTTGAAAACACCAATGACGGTGTTCTTCATTTATTAAATGGCCAACTCTATAGAAACTACCTTGTTTAATCAAAATGTTTAGTATATTTTGCATAATTACCTCCTCCCCCTGCAGGTCCTGGGCATGAGATTCCAATTGTGATTTCTACCTCACTGATGGACAACCAGCCAGAGATGGAAACATCTCGGAACTTTTTTGATGAATGAGTTTTTGATCATCAATCATAGGTCATGAAGACCCACATTAAACATACATTTTTTAAAATTTATTTCACTTTGACATTACTTAATGAATTGTCATGTTTTCAGTCATATGCCAGCAGTGGGATTAGCATGCATGTCTGATCCAATAACAAAAAAAGTA